TTGGCCACTAAGTCCGAGTTGCATTATTGCACTGCATGATCTAATCTGATATGATCTGCCGCAGTGGGAAAGCGAGAAATTTTCCATCACTAAACTTTTTTGTAGTAGCGTCAATGCACTGTGCTTGGATTTATCAGCAGATTTTTCTCTCTTTGATTATAAAAATATAAAACCCAACATGTCCCGGGCCTAACTTTGAAGCCACGTGACTAATAAATAGTTAATACTTCATTATGACGTGAATGCTTCGTTACTCTTAAATATTGATTGATCCAAAATTTATCGAGTAATCTTAATATTAAATAAAATATTATTATTTTTAAAAGATTTTAAATTCAAATAGTTGGATTTAAAAATGTATGTATGTTATTAATGACTAACAAGATTTTAAACTAATAGCCCCTAATAGTTATAACACCTCAAAATTTTAAGTTGATTTTAATTTAAACTTATTTAATTAATTTTCGAGGACCAATTTGTAAGATTATAAATTTTTAAGGTAGTTTTCGAAACTCTTTGGAGTTTCGAATTTGCACCTTCTCTATCTACAAAGAAAAAAAAAGGATTTTGAGCCGCGAGGTTTTAAACCCACATGTTGCAATAGAAGAGTCATGACTTAGGGGATGTTTGTTTATCTTTTAATGGAATCATTCAGCGTTAAATACTGAACGATTCAGCATTCAGCGTTCAATGGTTCTATTAAGAGGCAAACAAACAGCTCTTTAGTCACTAGGTTAGGACACTCTTTGTGTTTTAATTTAAGCAAAAATTTATTTTAAGCTTTTCAGTCGATATTTAAAATCTCTAATTTCCTTTTCCAATTCGAATAAAATCCCTAAAAATAAAATCCCTAAATCTCATTTACCTCATCGTCGTCATCACTTTTTCCCCTCAAACCGACATCGTCCGGCTACCGTGTTCGCCACCGCCACTATCGGAGTGATTGGCGACCTCCTACGAACAAAACCCATCGACCGTTTATCGTGAAGGCTCGTCGTTTGCCATGGGAGGAACATCAAACCTTCGTCGAAAACCTAAAGCTTTGTAGTAAGGACAAAGTTAACTTTTATTCCTTTAACCAAACACGATAATCTGACTTCTCAAAAAATTTAACTTTTTGGACAAAGTTAACGATCGATCAGCGATCAACTCACCACTCGGCTCAAGTCAATGGCTTGACTCGATAGTCGGCTTGGCAAACGACGAAGGTTTGATCAAATATACATTCCAATAATCTTTTATTCCTTTAACCAAACATGATAATCTTACATTCCTTCTAAAACAACCAAACACAAAATACAACATTCTCAGTAATCCTATTCCCTGGCAATCTTACATTCCCACTGGTAATCTTACATTCTGTGAACCAAACGCACCCTTAAAGTATAAAAAGATCATGAATTGGCTCTGATAGTGGAATTAACCTAGAACTAGTGCTTGGCCCAATAGAACTACTGATTCACCTGTTGAATTACTGATCTGATTAAAAATTTTCTAATAATAAATTCCTAACCTTTAAGAAGGCACAAGACTTAGAATTTATGAATTCTAAGCAAACACTCAGATACTAAATTACCGAAAATACCCTTTATGTATGAATTGTTCGAAATGATTGAATTATATGAAAAGACTAAATCGTATAAAAAGACCAAAATACCCTCGAGCTCCAGAATGATTAAAATAACCTCGAGTATGGAAATAACCTAAATACCCTCATGACATATAAATGAGTGAATACTATCGGAAAAATTCTAGAAACACTGATAAACCTAAATGTTGTATCGCCTCTAAAGGTTATAGAACACGACTTAAGTATGCCAGCCACTCTTGACACTATGGCAATACAAAAATAAAATAAATACCACCAGAATATCTACTCGTCCCCTCAAGATCTATTCAATGATGACTCCAAGATAACCTTCTCAACTAGCATAGTCAGTATTAAAAAGTAAATATTCATGAAGTATCTTGGTCCGACCGATTGACAAATATCACAGTGTGAAAAAATGTATAGTTCAATTTGACTCGATAACCTGATAATTCGACATAAATCCTGACTACATGTTTTCCTCCTCGAGTTAGGTTCAATGATAGTTTGTGAAGGTGATCTGTTCAAGCATAAAATGCAATTGGTAGCAAGAAATGAATATTCGTGAATTGTTTTTGTTTAAATATTCGGTAAGTATCGCGTTATTGAAGTCTAATTTCTTTGATGGGATTTAAAAGCCTGATTCATTATACATATGGAATGCTGTAAATTATTATTTTATCCTCATTAGACCAAATTATCAAGCTTTCTCCTGGTTGCAAATGACTAAAATGCCCTTGATGGCCTAAATAATGGAATCACTCTAGTTATATATAAATCTTAAATAATTTTTATGTAATGTTCTTGAATACATTCATACTTCACTCAATTCCTAAATGGTCCTGAAGTATCAATTTCTAAATGTATGATTTGATTTGTAAATAATCGAACCCCTTTTAATAGTGATCTTGTTTTTCAATATGATCAACTTGCAGAAGTTTGTGTTTCCCTTCTTGATAATTGCTACGTGCCTCTGAAAAATATATGAATCCTCTAGTGTGTTTCTTATACACATGAATATTTTCTTTGATTTTAAAGTATGACTTTGATAACTGAAATTAAAAATCTAATCTCTGACCTCTATTTTTTTATACAAAATATATATGGCTCCTAATTTTTATATTACTGGTACTGTCTGAAACTGTTTTATTTGGACACTGTTTGGGTAGGATTCTAGAGTTCTGAGGTTTAACTCTGATCAAGTTGGTAATTCATTATGGACCTAAGGTGACCCTTGGGTAGACTCTTAGGCCCCAATGTACTGCATTAGGTAGGTTTTAAAGCCCCAAGGTACTCCCTTAGGTTGGCTCCTACACCCAGTGGGCCTAGGGTAAGTCCTTATGGATGCAGTTCTGCGGCATATAGAGTGTTCGGGTGGAAGGTATTACTATGTTTTTAAAAATCTATTTTATTGAAATAAACTATTATTTCTGGTTTTGTTGGAACACACTAGACTTCTCAACTCTATCTTCTGAATCTGTGTCTCTGAATGTTTCTTCTAAACCGCAAGTTTCTTAATTGTTACCTGAAGATTAATTAGTAAACCTCAACTCATCACTAGAACCTGTATATGCCTCGATCAATAAGAAAATTTTAATATATCACCATATATTTGTTTGGCCTTTAACATCATGGTTGTTTTGTATTACTGAACTTTTCCAGAGCTTACTCTGTTACTTACTATTTCAGGTTAATAGAATTGATTATGTTCAATTATCAACATCAGTATTAGGAGTTCTCTCGGTGTTGTTTGTGAGTACGATACCTGTATAATTAAGGTTATGTAGGTCACATTTGTTTTTATAATGAGTCTGAAACTTTTATAATACGATGTATGATCAAATTTTGTTTCTGATATATGAACGATTTTCTGAACTTGTGATTATTTTAAATGGTTTAAGAAAAAAAAATATTTTTCTCATATTTTTATTGTTGGTCGCTCCTGTGGCCTTAATGTGACACCTCGGATCGTATCAAGTCATCTGTATCAATTTGAAGGTGTTACATAATTATCCCGAATTATTAATTTTTTTTATTAATCCATTTAATATACATGTCATGAATAATGTAGGAAGCATACAAATTCATGTACACACAGTATTACATATATTTGAATTGTTAGAATCAAAATTAATCATTATAAATTATTGTATAATTAATAACAATAATATACTCATGTTAAATCAAAATAAATTTAAACATGATTAACATTGTAAAACCAAATATAAAGAAATTTCCTACATGATTTATACAATGGTATTTGGATCTATTAAATTCTAAAGACCTTGACCTAGTCATTTATATTAAAAATTTCATCTTTTTACTGATGATTAATGCAAATATAAATGTCTAAAATATTCAAAGTTAATTTTTTGTGTCTAAAGAATATTTTTGTTAAAAATAACAGTCTAACGTTTTCTACATTATACTTTTAGACGTTTACTGTTACAAAAATTGATAAGTGATACATTTATATATTTAAAAAATAAAAAATGATTTAAAGAAAATCTAATCGTTTTACATGTCAATTGACAATTTTTTTAACATGTACCTAAAATTGTAGCAAATAAAATATTAAACACATATTTTTAATAAAAAATTATTTAAATATCAAAAGTTAACGTTATATACTTATTTTTTATATCAAGTCTTTTACTCAAACCAAAGGCCTCCAGTTTTTACTTGGCCAATGAGCAACCTGCAAGTGTCCAAATGTTCTATGGTTCTGCGGACATTTTCACACTTTCGATTCGAACCTGTCCGTCCCTGCATTATGGGTAAGAGACTGACAGATTTTGATTTAATCTGATTTGATCAGGTTAGATTATATTTGAATTTAGTATAAAAAATATATGATTTGATTTATTTGAAAAAAATATAATTTTATCTTACATATTTAAGAATAATTATAATAATATCTCTTTATATATTATTTTTTAATTAAATTCTTATTTTTATTTAATAAAAATAAATTTTAATAAATATTTTATTTCGAGTCGGGTTTGATCGAATTCAGATTCTATCACAAAAAATCGAGTTAAATTCAGATCAAATGGAAGATGTAAAATTTTTAGATCAGATCAGATTTATCAATAATACCATCCTCAAATAAAAAAAATTTTAAATAAGAAAGGACAGTTTCGCGGGATGTTGTTTCTTAAAAGTTTTAAATTTATATATAATTTAAATTTTTATATTTTTATTAATAAAACACTCTTATCCCCTAAAATTTTATAACATAGAAAACTATCCCTTTAAGATTTCATGATGTTCACTGTATCAGCCCAACAAGGCATATCCATATCCTCTTGGCACTTATTTTATAAAGCATAATAATTAATCTGCCTTCACAAACTGTTCGTCTTTTAATCAAGCTCATAGCTTTAATTGGTCCCTTTTAATTCATAAACATGCTTGAATCTATGTTTGCTTCTCTGTATTTTGATCAGTTCTGCCAACATTAAGCTGACAATAAAAATAATACAAAATACAGAGCAAATGTGGAATCAGTGAAAGATTTATAGCATATAGAGCTTTAATTTATTTAAACACCAATCAAAGCTAATGACTGTCATGTTCATGCCGTGTCTCAGCCTATCCTGGAGTCATCTCTCCCAAAAACCAGCGTGGTAGCCCAGTTAACCGCAACATAGAACCGGTTCCTCCAGCAAATCACACGGGTCAAGTAAGCCGATCGCCAAACGAACCAGCTGACGAACCCGGCAAGCGATATGCCTTGAGCGTCCTGCCAGAGCCGGCACACATGTTTAGAACAATGTTGAAGATTTGTCAATGGGGTGTTGATGTTACCTTGGATTGGCGAAGATCGACTAGGGCCTTGTACCGACCGACGGATGCCATACTTCCGAGATGTTTATAGACGAAAGGGTCTACTAAAGACATGTCTTCGGCACTAAATGCCCTGCCCCCATCCTGGTTCCCAATCCTGTTGAACACATCCACCAGGTACTTGCCTTGCCTTTCCGCAACCTGAGCAAGGGCTGGAAGGACAGGCTTCCCCGTCTGTTCGAGGAAACCGGCACAATCGCCGAGCGCGAATACATCTTCTACCGATGGTACGCGCAACCATTGATCAACACCAATCCTGCATACCTCTTTGAAGTTAGTTAAATCTGATCATAGACATATATATATTGGTGGTGTTGCAAAGCAATGCTAGTGTTTATACCTTCCACCTGGGGACTTGGGAAGATTTAACGCTTTGATGAATTCGGAGGGACCAACACCAGTAGACCAAACTAATAGGCCATATGGGACATCAGTTCCATCACTGAGAATAATCTTCTTGGGATGAACCTCTTTCACAACACCTCGCATAAGGTGCACACCGGACTGATTCGAAATTTCGAAGTTTCATGATTCAGGGATTACGAAAAAAACAAGATCTCTGGGACATAGAGAGGGATTCGAATTACCTTCTTCAGGTGATTTGTTGCATACTGACGGAGTCGGACGTCAAAGGATGACAGGATCTCATTTGCCTGATCAAAGGCAAGGATATCGGCAAAATCAGCATCCATATACATATATTGCATGTAGAAATTTCAGAAAGGGTTTGCTTTGTTGGTCCTAAATACCTCTATAAGTGTGACCTTTATGTAATCTTTTACATGACTGTACCTCTCATGGACATCTCTCCCTATGAAATCACTCAACTCACCGCTGAACTCGACTCCTGTTGGGCCACCTCCAATGATAACAAAGTGCAATAGGCGTTTCTTTTCTTCTTCCGGTAAGCCTGCAGCGACGAACCACAAACTGTATGAGAATGTATCATCTATGCAAACAAGTTATGGGAGTTAGAATCGAGACAGAGAGTCATCGTTATGCGAGGTGTTCCATATGATCATATGTAACAAGCACAGACCAAGAATCCAAAGGAGACACCAGAGAGAAAAATCTATGGCCGGAAAATGTATCACTCGCCTGGATTTTCAGAGTGCATTAAGTTCAAAAGAAGTTTCTTCCTTATTTCTTGGGCGTGATTCACTTCACGAAGGAAATATGCATTTTCTTTCACACCCTTGATGCCAAAAGTTAAAGGCTCGGCTCCAGCGGCAATTACAAGCTTGTCATATGCAACTTTAAATTGATACGGCTCTTGAGGTAGTCCGCCATTGCTCATTGCCTCACAGTATACCTATCATGAGTATATACATGCACAATATGGCATACAAACTGGTTAGGGGAAAGGTAGACACTGAAAAATTGAATATTTTTAGTGGTATGCATTAACTCACCTCATGATTGGTGGTGTCAAGGCTTATGCAAGAAGCAAGATAGAAGTACGAGTTCGGGCTTGTTGCCAATGCAGACTGTATCCGGCTAACAGGCTCGGAAACTGAGCGAAATTCAAGCGTCCCAACACAAGTTGAAGCAAGCAAAGGCGTGAAGACCATGTGGTTTCGAGGTGATATGCAAACAACATCATAGATTCTGGTGTCAAGTCCCTTGAGGAATCGGCATGCTGCCCATCCAGTACCAAGGACAACCACTCTAGGCTTTTCACCTGGCTTGGTTGCCTCTAGTCCTGGATACCTCGTTTCATCATGTTCCAATTCCAACTCCTCTAACCGCTCAGCTAACTTAGACTGATGATGTGGGGTTGTCCTAATTCCCCTGCTCCAAAAACTAATGTGATTTTCTGTGGTGGAAGGGCATGTCAAGTTGCTGTGCACATTACTTTTTTCGGGGGAAGGAAAGAAAGTTTTGTGGTCGGATACTCTTTCGGAGAAGGTATTCCTCTCGGTCATGTAATTGCCAACGGTACCTCCTGATCTTCTCAAGCCACTCCTGGTAAACCGTGCAAGTGCCATGAAGAACTTGTTTTAATCAAATTCCAGCAAGACCTTTAAATCTGTCCAGGGGTTAAACAAAAGTAAGCTATGCAATTCCAATATAGCAAAAGGGATGGACTGAGATTATATAAAGAAGCTAGGGAGAGGAATTAAATCCGAATCGAAATCGATTTGGTACATTAGATATCAGTGACTCACCTTATTATAATCACCTGCAAAGTCAATTTAAGCATTATAACTTACTTGATCAAACAGATTTAACCGGATTGAAACGACTTTGGTCATCAGATGCAATGCAGACAAGTATTTGGGGGTATGTGCAGGTCCAAAACAAGACAACAATATGTTCAAATGGCAGCCATCAGCTATCATTCCAAATTTCATCAAAATGTTCAGGTGAACTCTTCCCCAAGGCCATGTGAGTATCAAAACGAGTATAGATGTTCGATATAAGTATACTCATTCAGTAGAACGTTTGTTTCAAAGTCTAAAACATAAGAAAGCAAATACCAACTTTTATTTGGCCATTAGGTGAAATAATATAAACAATAAAAGCTGTCAGCTTTCATTCCAAATTTCATCAAAACATTTAGGTGAACTCTTCCTCAAGAATGTTATGTTACCCTCTCCTAAAATTTTAGAAGTTTGTCCCTGAGTATATATACAAATATATACTTTAGATACGAGTATAATCAATCTTTGTTTAAATTTTTTCAACGCTCGAAGGGAGGACTCAGAGGTGAGGCTAGGCATGTTTAATGTGCGCGACGGAACATGGCCTCAAAAAATTCACAATAAGATTATTGGTATTACAATAGATGATTAAACTATAAAAAAGAGCCCAAAAAACTTTTTTTCGAAAGAAGATATGAGAAATACAAATAATTAATACTATGCTACAGCTGTAAAGCTTATCTCATTTTTTTTTGTCCAACTCACTTTAAGAAAAAGACATTTTTTGTCTAATTCACTTTAAGAAAAATACATTTTTTAAGAATTTGTACAAGGACTCCAAATTTCTAACCCGACGGGAGGACTAACATTTATTTCGGAGCAATACCAGCTAAAACCAATCACTAAACACCATATATATATATATATATGAAGAAAACTCAATCGATCATTGCCAAGAAAGTTCTGACTCTGCAGCATGGGAAGACTAGAGGCAGCTTAATAAATATTCAACATAATAAATATCCGACTATTAAAAAAAATCAACAAGCACCATGAATTGTTTAACCTATGAAGTCACTAAAACAAATAACCATTGCCTACAACGCTCAAAAACAAAAGATTCCACAAAACAAAGATTTTCATTCCAAGAGCAAGTTTGACAAACTTTAGCCATGTGAATACACGTTTAAAAAAGAGAGATACTAAAACCCCACACAGAAAACACTTATCAAACATATAACATGCATGCACAGTGAACTGATAGAAGCAATTGTAATAAACGAACAGTCTTCAAGCTCATAGAATGGCTAACTGAAACCAAGAAGAAGAACATTACTTTGGAAATTCTTGAGCTTTCTGTTCTTGAAGTGGGCGGCTGTACCCAAGATTATTGGAGAGGGTTTTAAGAGAAAATGTTAATGGCGTTGTTTCTCACGCTAAGAATCAAAACCCAAATTTCTTTTTTAGTTGGTGATGTCTTGAGCTAAAAGAAATTACAAATACTAAATAAAGAGTAGATCAAAGCTCAGCGCAACCGACTTGAGGCGCAAGAAAGTTTGTTGAGCAAAATAAGCATCATACTGAGAACACGTCTGCTTATATTGTTTATGTATATATATAGAAGAAAGCTGCGGTGTATACTATGTGAGTTGGCAATGGGGAAGACAATTGCAAGAATATACGGTAAAGGTTCTTATTCATAACTCTTACACGACGTAGTCTTTGATGAATTTAGGGTTTGCTTAGCATTATCCTTTTTCATAATTCAAAAGTGCGTTTTTATCGTCCAAAGTAGCTTTTTTTTAACGAATGAAGTCATATTGCTTTTTGAACTGTAATTACTTTTATATCCATCAAATAACCACACATTTATACATATTTATAATATGTATGAAAATATATACTTAAAAAATTTTAATATAATTTATTCATTTTACGAAAAAGATTAATTTAAAAAATTAACTCGAGTTATGGCAAAAAGAATGGCTAGTTGTCTCAATGAAGTGTTGGGGGAGAATCAGTTCGCTTTTACTTCCGGTAAACAGATTGCGGATTTCATCTTGATTGCGAACGAAGTTATTGAAGACATCTCTAAAAGCAAGAAAAAGTCAGTGCATTTTAAGGTAAACTTTAGTAAAGAGTATGATACAGTTGACTGGAATTTTCTGAACCTGATTATAATGAAAATGGGTTTCAGAAAAAGATGGAGGAAATATGTCCATTTTTGTATCTCGTCTCTGTCCATTGCCGTATTAGTTAACGGCTGCCCGTCCACTTATTTTGCAATAAAGAGGGGTCTTAGGCAGGGTTACCCATTGTCGATGCTGCTATTTAATGTTGTGGGGGAGGCCCTTAGTGGCATGTTAAACAAAGCGATCGCTACTGGGCTGTGCGGTGGTGTTGAAGTTGGGTTTGGAAATATAGAAATTTCGCATATTCAATTTGCCGATGATCTTCTAATTTTTTCAGCAGCAAATGAAAATAATTTAAAGAATTTCAATCGTGTTCTTAAAATATTTGAGTTGGCAATGGGGTTAAAATTAAATATGAAGAAGTCTAAGATTTTTGCTATTAGCGTTGATGACAGCAGATGTTGAAAACATTTTTGTGTTTCGATATAACAAATTAAGTTTAAATGAATTTTAAGATTTTACAAATGATTTTCTAAGTATATTCGATTTAATTAATCAAATATCAAATTATTACTCCAAGTCTTTCAAGTTCAAATTCAAAACTTACAAATTGTGTTTTCATAAAGTATTTTGAACTAAAATCAAGCCTAAAATCAATTTATCAAAGTGATGCACCGGTGCACCAATCCATGCATCGATGCACCATGAATTAGATTGAACATCGAATGCATTTCATGCATCGATGCACATACCATGCATCGATGCACTGAGGATTTTATGAAAACATCGAATGCATTTGATGCATCGATGCACTCTGGCTATTTTGAAACATCGAATGCACTTGATGCATTGATGCACTCTTAGTGCACCGATGCACTAAGGGTCCAACGGTCAAAATATTTGAATTTTACACTAATTCACCGATGCACTATGGGTATGCATCGATGCACTGACGCTCCCAACTGCTTTAATTAATTGTTTTCACACTTAAACGGCTCTATTGACTCCACTAAGCATCCCTAACGTTCAGAATCATTTGAAGGTGTATTTAAACAAGCTTAGAAGCTATTGATCAAGAACAAGAAACAACAATCAACCAGAATCAAGAGAGAATCAAAGAGAAAGCATCAAACCTCAAGTTTAAGCATTTCAAGCATATTTTTCATTCAATATTCATTTTGCTTTTAAGAACACTACTTGTACTCAATTGTATTCATTTTTAGTGTTCTTTTCTTTGTTCTAGAATTGTGCAAACAATCTACCTTGTGAGGATTTCCTTGTAAGTTTGTAAATTTGTAATATTCTATTTGAGAAAGAGTGTTCTCAAGAATTGGGGTATATTCTTGAGGGAGTTGTAAGGTTATCTCTTTGGCCTCAAAAGAAAGAACAAATTAGTGAATTTGTTGAAAAATTCTTAGTGTGGATAGCTAAGGTAGTGGACGTAGACTTTGATTGAGAAAGTCAAACCACTCTAAATCGTTGTGTAATTACTTTTAATTTTCTGCAAAAGCTTCCACCAAAATTTTAATTGCCAATTCACCACCCTCTTGGCCGATTCCGTCGATCGAATAACTTAACAATTGGTATCAAAGCCTCACTCATTTGAAGTTTTAATCGTCTCTTGAGTCGATTCGGGAAGAGTTACATCAATTATCAAGTCATCAATGACCTCTACTTCAAATGTTGACTCCGGTCCCGATTCGATGCCCGTCAACAAGCCACCTTTCTTCAATGGAGCTAACTATGCCTATTGGAAGAATAGGATGATGTATTTCATTTAAGCAAGTGACATGGGAGCATGGAATGTTGTAGAAGACGGATAAATCAAGCCTCTCACTCATCCAAGATTGTGGAGTGAAGGAGAGACAAGAATGTTCCAGATCAACTCCAAAGCAATCCATATGATATTTTGTGCTCTTGGACCAGATGAATATGTAAGAGTTTCATCTTGTACAACCGCCAAATAAATATGAGATAAACTACAAGTCACTCATGAAGGCACCAACGAGGTAAAAGAATCTAAAATTAGTCTTCTAACACATAATTATGAAAATTTCAGGATGAAACCAAATGAAGATATCAAAGCTATGACGGATAGATTCTCAACGATTATCAATGGTCTCAAATCATATGGAGAGATCATTCCAAATGAAAAGCTTGGGAGGAAGTTAGTTTACTCACTTCCAAAATCGTGGCAATCCAAGAAGACGACAATCATCGAAGCTAAGAACCTAAAATCCTTAACTCTTAAAGAGCTAATTAGTTCTATCCTCACTCATGAAATGATGCTTGAAGATGAGTTGGACCTCTATAAGATTGATGAAACACCAAAGGAGAAGAAGAAGAAAAACATTGGAGTTGCTCTCAAATCCACAAAAGATAAGAGTGATTCAGATGAAGATGACGATGACGAGGAAATGGCATTGTTTGCCAAACGGTTCAGAAAAATGATGAGACCTTACCAAAGAAGAAAATTCAAACGAAATGAAGGTCTCAAAAATGAACCAAAAGAGAAGGACCCTATCATTTGCTATGAATGCAAAAAGCCGGGGCATGCCAAATATGATTATCCATAATTGAAAAGAAATTGTCAATCAAAGAATAAGTACAAGGCTCATGTGTCTACATGGAGCGATGAAGAGGGTTCCGATGAAGAGGAACAAGAAGTAGCAAACTTGTGCTTGATGAACATTCGGGGAAGATTCTAAGGTAACCTCTAACTCATCTGAATTATATGTTTTATCTTATGATGAGTTATTAAAGGAATTTAATGGGTTGGCTTCAGATTATGAGAAATTGTTTTTAAAATATAAAAATGATGTCTCAAAATTGAAAAATGAAAATAAACTCATATCCAAGACCAACAATGATTTTGAAAGTAAAATCAAAGATTTGCAAATCAAACTAGAAGAGTTTGAAAAGAAAAATTTGGATTTGCAAAATTTACTTTCAAAGGTCAATGATGATCATCAAAAGAAAATTGATGATCTTAAAGCTTCTTTTTATAAAGTTGGAACAAAACGTTTTGAAAATGGAGAAAATTTAAAATCCAACTTTGTTAGAAAAAGTTTTAAAAACTACAATCATAGAGGTCCCCGAAAAACCTCTAATGAAAAAATCGTTAGAAGTATATGGGTTCCTAAAGGACTCATTACTACTAAAGATAAAGATGTCCTACACAAATAGATACCTAAGGGGACTAGGATTTTGGAAACTAATGAATATGGACCCAAAATAATTTGGGTACCAAAAATTAGAAATTAATCTATGTTTGTAGGAAAAGGAGCATTGCTACAAGGCACGAGAAATAAATTCAAACTCATGGTACCTTGATAGTGAATGCTCAAGACACATGACCGGAGACAAAAGCCGGTTCATAGAGCTTAACGCCAAAAATGGAGGAGAAGTAACTTTTGGTGATAATTCAAAATGTCACATCGAAGGTATATGTACCATAGGTAATACCTCTTCCCATACAAATTAAAAATGTTTTATGTGTGAATGGATTAAAGCATAATCTCTTAAGTAATAGTCAATTATGTGATAAAGGATTCAATGTCATGTTTGAAATTAATGGTTGTAAAGTTATTGACATTGCATCTAATCGGAATATGCTTGTTGGTCATAGAATATGAAACATATACATGGTGCATTTAGACTCTATTGATATGACTAATTTATGCCTAGTTGCTAAGGATGAACATGATAGTTGGTTATGGTATAGGAGACTAGGACATGCTAGTATGAGTGTTTTACAACGGCTAATTCAAGGAAATTTAGTTCGAGGGTTGCCTAAGCTTAAATTTGATAATGATAAAATCTGTGATGCTTGTGCTAAAGGAAAAAAAGCGAATTTCTTTTAAATCCATTAATGATGTATCAACTAGTAGAGTATTACAATTGATCCATATATATCTTTTTGGGCCAACTAGGACTACTAGCTTGGGTGGAAAACAATATGCATTTGTCTTGGTATATGACTATTCTAGATATACTTGGATTCTATTCTTAAGTACTAAAGATGAAGCATTAGAAAAATTCATCACGTTTTCAAAAGTAATCCAAACGAAAAAGGTTACTCTATAACTAGTGTTAGGGGTGATCATGGAACTGAATTTAAAAATCTTGGATTTACTGATTTTTGTAATTCTAATGGTATTAGCCATAGTTTTTCAGCACCTAGAACCCCTCAACAAAATGGAGTTGTTGAGAGGAAAAATCGAACTTTAGAAGAAATGGCTAGAACCATGCTTTGTGAAAACAATTTGCCAAAATATTTTTGGGCGGAAGCCACAAATACCTCTTGTTATGTTTTAAATTGAGTAAT